GGTGGTGTTCTGAAGGCAAGTGATACAATTCTTCAAAAAGGAGGGCGTGCTCAACAGCTCAACTGTGTCGACGCTGCTGCAACTGGCGATTCAACAAAAGTGGTTTTGGTGAAGAGCTTGGGAAGCAGTTGGGGCTGGAAGCCTGACTCCAGAGCTCAGGAGACCAGCAATCCAGAACCTAGAAAGAGTGAGTATAGATAACTGTTTTGAAATGCAGAGGAATGGAGTGGTAACTGGCAGAGGATTTGTAATCAAAAGGAGGTTTGTGTGTTTTTCCTTCATTTATTCCGATTCTCTCCATCAGCCCCCTGGTGACCAACAGGTTTGCAAAATGGTTCCCTGCATTGAGGGCTGGGGCCTTGGCTGTGTGAGGGTCAAGCCAACTGGGTCCAACCTGTGCCCTTGGTTCATCAGCCTCCACTGGATCGACAGGCCACAACTATGGCTGGCAGCACTGCCAGCTGATTCTTCAGGATGTGTGAAACTGTCTCTCTTCCTAAACGTGTATTGTGATGGCCAGGAACTTACCAGTGACAAGAATTAATCCTATTCTTCCTCTGAATTTCTGAGGGGCTTCTGAATTTCTCTCCCTCTTTGCTCCTGCCAGATGGTTAGAGGCAAGAATGCCAAGGGGAAACTCATTCCTTCTAGACAGTGCATTGGTGTGTTATGTGTGGTCTCTCCTGATGGTATGTGCATGATAAGAAAGGAGATGTGATTGTGTAGAGCAGAGAGAGTGTGTGTGCATAAGTGCCTATGCATGTGTGTGTGTGTGATAATTATTGATCACTGTATGGGCCTCAGTCATCTTTAGGCAGAATTGTGATGTTGGCTTGCAGATGTTGAGTGACTTGAGTGAAGTATCAGTACCTTTCAGCCAGGAACATACCTGTAGTTGAATGCGTTGTTTATCACTCATGGCAATGAGAGAGAATACATACTGTGGGGAGCCAGGGGGCATCTCAGCAAGTGTGTCTGAAGCCATCTTGATGCCATGGCCTTGTCTGTTCTCACTGTGGTTTGGAACCTTTCGCTCTCTAACGCCTCAGTCACTCTGGCTATGAGAACTCTCAAGTTCTCCCAAGCCTTAGAGCCTCTGGGTATCCCTCTCTACCTTTGGAGATGTATCAGGGATTTTCAGGATGGTCTCAGAGTCCACCTATGAAATGGTAATGGCAGCTTGGCTATGTCTGGAACAGAGCAGACCTGGGATGGGCAAGGGGGCTCTAGAACATAATTTTATTTGATAATACTTTAGTCGGTCACATCAAGACCCCCAGGGGGCTTATGATGGGGTCAAAGTCTCTGATTGCCTCTATAGCCTTCCTGATGTTTGTGGGTAGAGCACTCTTTCTCCGGGGTATGGTGCTCATCAGATACTCCCCTCCTCCCTCACATCAAGAATGTCTGCATTGATATACAAAGGTTCGGTTATCAACTGGCATACTTCCCTAGAAGCATGACATAGGGTCACAGGAGAATTATCCTTTTCACGATCACTTTGGTTTTTCCCCATTTTTAGCTATTTAAAACAATACTGTGATAAACATTCTTTTTTTTTTTTTGAGACAGAGTCTCACTATGTCACTCTCGGTGGAGTGCTAGCGTCACAGCTCACAGGAACCTCAAACTCTTGGGTTTAAGTAATTCTCTTGCCTTAGCCTTCTAAGTAGCTGGGACTACAGGCACCTGCCATAACACCTGGCTATTTTTTTGTTGTTGTTGCAGTTGTTATTGTTGTTTAGCTGGCCTGGGCCTGGTTCAAACCCGTTAGCCTCCATTCATGTGGCTGGCGCCATAACCACTGTGCTATGGGCGCCAAGCCAACATTCATTCTTGCATGTGTATTTTTGCACGCAAGTGTGAGAATATCATCCGAGAAATGAAAATCAAAACCCCTCTGAAATATTACCTAACTTCAGTGAGAATAGCCCACATCATAAAATCCCAAAGCTTCAAATGCTGGTGTGGACGTGGAGAGAAGGGAACACTTTTGCACTGCTGGTGGGATTGCAAACTAATACAACCTCTATGGAATGAATTCTGTAGAATTCTCAAAGAAATAAAAGTAGACCTTCCATTTGATCTTGCAATCTCATTGCTAGGTCAGAAGAAAAAAAATCATTTTATCACTAGGACATTGCATGAGAATGTTTATTACAGCTAAGTGCCTGTCAGCTTAGAAATGGATTAACATATGCATGCGTTCACACATACATATGGTATGTGTATACCATGGAGAACTATTCAGCCATAAAAGGGTAGAGACTTTACATCTTTCATATTTACCTAGATGGATTTCAAACACATTCTTCTTAGTAAAGTATCATAAGAACGGAAAAGCAAGTATCCAATGTACTCAATACTAATATGAAACCAATGTATAAACAACTACATGCCCACACAAAAGAGAAACACTAGTATAGTCAAGTGATGGGGAGAGGGAAGGGGGAGGGGGGAGGGAGATTAGCAAGTTCTAGGTGAAAGGCTCAACTAGAACTTGAACTTTACCTTAGAAATGAAAGTAATGTAACCCAAACATTTACCTTCGTATTAACAATTACAATTAAACAATTAAACAATTACCTTCGTATTAATCTGGAATTTAAAAAGGAGTGTGAGAATATCTACGGGGTGAAATTCCAGCAGTGATGTTACTGGGTCAGAAGGTATGTGCATTGTGATTTTTTTTTTTGATTGCAAGAATTAAAGCTGCTTACTCCATAATGTATGAGAGTCCCTGTTTTCTTCACCTCACTCAGCAATGACATATCATCAAAATTAAACCTTCTTGGACAATCTGATAGATGAAAATATTAATTTGAGGCCGAGTGCAGTGGTTCATGCCTGCGATCCTAGCACTCTGGGAGGACAAGGCAGATGGATTGCCTGAGCTCAGGAGTTCAAGACCAGCCTGAGCAAGAGTGAAACCCTGTCTCTACTAAAAGTAGAAAAACTAACTGGGCATTGTGATGGGCACCTGTAGTCCCAGCTATTTGGGAGGCTGAGGCAGGAAGCTTGCTTAAGCCCTAGAGTTTGAGGTTGCTGTGAGCTATGATGTCATGGCACTCTACCCAGGGCAACAGAGTGAGACTATCTCAAAGAAAAAAAAAGAAATCTGGGGGGGGGGGCAGCTCCTGCAGCTCTGCTGCTCAAAGAGTAGGGCACCGGCCCCATGTGTCAAGGGTGGTGGGTTCAAACCCAACCCTGGCCAAAAAACTGCAAAAAAGGAAAGAGAAAAAGAAAAGAAAATGTTAATTTGATGTATTGATTTATTTATATTTATTTAATTATGAGTTGGACTGAGCCTCCCCTTAGGTGTTTTGTTTGTTTGTTTGTTTGTTTTTGAGACAGAGTGTCTTGCCTCAGCCTCTCAAGTAGCTGGGACTATAGGTGCCCTCCACAACACTAGACTATTTTTGTTGTTATTGCAGTTGTCATTGTTGTTTAGCAGGCCCAGCTAGGTTCGAACCCACCAGCCTTGGTGTATGTGGCCGGCACCCTACCTACTGAGCTATGGGCACCGCCATTTTATTTATTTTTTTTTTTTGAGACAGAGTCTCACTATGTCACCCTTGGTAGAATTCTGTGGCGTCACACAGCTCACAGCAACCTCCAACTCTTAGGCTTAAAAGATTCTCTTGCCTCAGCCTCACGAGTAGCTGGGACTATAGGCACCCGCCACAATGCCCAGCTATTTTTTGGTTGCAGTTGCCATTGTTGTTTAGCAGGCCGGGGACCTGGCTGGAACCTGCCAGACTCTGTGTATGTGGCTGGTGCCCTACTCACTGAGCTATGGGCACTGAGCCAGCCCTTACGTGTTATTAACTGTTTGTATTTTTTTTTTCCCGCAAATTGCCTTATACATAATCTTTGCTCCTTTTATACTGAATTGTTTGTCTTTTATTGATTTATATGAGCTCTTGATGAATTAAGAAAATTGGTCCCCATATCTGTCTTATTTGTTGCAAGTACTGTTTCCTAGTGCGTCATTCTTTGTTGATTCTTTTTTTTTTTTTTTTCTGGCCAAAAGTTTTAAAATTTTTATGTAGTAAAGTCTCTCTCTCTCTCTCTTTTTTTTTTGTGGCCAGGGCTGGGTTTGAACCTGCCACCTCCAGTATATGGGGCCGGCGCCCTACTCCTTTGAGCCACAAGCGCCGCCCTCTCAATATTTTCCTTTATGACTCTGGACATTTATCAAGACAATTTTGTCTCCTTGAGCATACCATAAATAGTTCACAGGCCTCCAAAATGAACGGGCCCCAACAGAAAACAATAGATTAGGGGTTTTTTTGCATTTGTCTTTTTTTTTTTTTTGGCAAGAACTTTATTGAAATACAATCACACAGTTTACACTTCAGCCATTTAAAGTGAACACTTCAATGCTTTTTAATATATTCGCAGATTAGTTCGCCCATCATCACAACCAATTTTAGAACATTTTTATCACTTCAAAAGGAAACTCAGTACTCTTTATTTATCATCCCCCCCCCAACAAACCCCCACCCATATGCCTCAGTACTACACAAGACATTCTCTATGTCGATGTATTTGCCTATTCTGGACATTTCATATAAATACAGTCAATGTTCTAAGGAAGGATAATTCTCTCCAATAGCAATCCCATTTGTCTACTTTTTGTTGAATAGTTTAAGCATCTGAAGGATAAGGGGTAGGGTGAAATGATTCTACTATGCCCGGATATCAAATTATGATCTTTAGATTTTTTGCTCTGCATTTTATTTTAGTGACAGTATCATGGCTGAATCGCTAAGTGAAGTCTCTAGCAGTCTGGAAATTCTGGAGACCAGTGATGAGGGTAAGTAACTCAATGAAACCTTGATAACTAAAGCTCATTATCTGTGATTAGCCCTTAGGACACAGTAACAAGGCATAAGATAAGACGTCCACGTCAAATTCCTCAGAACATTAGACTCAGTCCACATTTATTTCTCAGTTTTCTAACTCCTTTTCTGTCATTTTCAACTCTGACAGTCAAAAGGCCCTATAATCTTCTTTGGTGATAATTACTAGGCTCTGCTTACTAAGGCAGGAGAAGGATTTCTGCTTAATCAGAAAAGAAAACAAACCCAGCCAATCAGAACAGACTATGATCTGACACATTCAACTGCTGTTTTACTGTAGATAGTAATCCAGATCTAAGCAACAGGTGAATTTGTAATTTGAGGAGTAAAGGGGAAGATAGAAACAAAAGATGCCACCACAGGCTTCTGTCAAATACAATTTCATTTATTAAAATATCAAAAAATAAAATTTCTCTGTTGCACACCTCACTCAGATGTCTGTCTATTGCCTAAATTGTAGTGCCATCTATGAGTTACAGGTTATTATGGGTGGAATACTAGAAAGGAAG